TAGATAAGTATTATTAACTAAATTGTTCAACAGTATACCTAATAACATTTCTAGGTGCTAATATGCTCCTTTACAATATGTACCCAGTACACATACTATAGGTATACTAAAAGTCCTGGCAATGGCTTGCAGTATATACCTGTTTTTTTGGGAGTGTGCTAACAATATATACCATATCACTGCTAAGCCTTGGGTCATGGTATAATTTACAGCTGCATTTTTAAGCCCAACCTCATAATCATGCCGACGTTAATTGAGTCATCAATCTCCCACTGTTTAGTGGATCAAGATCCTTTCTGGTGCCAAATTCTTGTTCATGAACTATGCAGTGAAATCATGCACTCCAGCATTTTTTTCTAGTCCTTTTACTCTTCTTGGCTCTCTGTTCTCCCTATTCTTCCTTTTTTATTTGACACACATTATTTGACATTCACTCTGTTGGGCTCTTTGTCTTTTCTCTGTGAAAGAAATGAGGTGAGGAACAGAATGAGATGAATATCAGTATTGAATGGCTTTGATGTTCATGGTGCTATTATTAAAGCCACCCTGTTTTTCACAGGTTGACAGAAAAATAGCTTGATCGAATGTTAAGTAGAGAGCAAAAAGCAGTTTTTTTTTGTTTATTACTCTCGAACAGTAGTACTTATTATTGATTTGTAATAAAAAACAGGACAAAATGCAATTTCTGTTATTTATGTCACTGTAGTCAAGTGTTTTTTCCATCTGTAGTCAAATCAAGTCACTTTAATTTTTATAGTGTTTTATGCAAAATTGATTTTGGTATTAAAGCAGCTAACAAGACAACAGTGTAATTATTCAGCTCAGTTCAGTTCAATGATTTATTGGCTCCAGTTCAATAACTAATTAAGATTAATTGATTAGGAAACATGGGCAATTGCCTTTTCAACACATTCAGAACCCTTTAAATCAGTGTTACTGCTGAATGTTAAGTGGCTTTTATATGTTGTATAGTACACTGAAAAGATAATTTTGTAAAATTTGTGGTTAAAAACAGCAGCTGTGTTTGCCAGAAAGCATAAAATAAATGTCTAAATTTTACTATAAACTAATGTTTTTAATTAATTTATATAACAGACTAACAGTGCTTCTGACAGGTTTGAAATACTTGCAGTGGTTGTCAGATTAAAACACACCATTTACCCACATCACATAAATAGTTACAAACATACACATAATTTAACTTTTAATAATCATTTTATTTATTATGACACTGTTATACTTTGTTTCTTATACACATAATTTAACTTTTAATAATCAATTTATTTATTATGACACTGTTATACTTTGTTTCATTATAATGGGTTAAAGTCAAATAGAATTCCACTATTTCCATTACTTTTATGCTACTCATATGCCATGTGCACAAAAAAATTACTGAAAGTTAATTCTACTCATTTTGAACTCCGTGTTGAAGGTAATGAGTTAATTAAACATTTCATTACTTCAACTTAAATAGAGTAGATTCACAGAATTTATATATATATGTGTGTGTGTGTGTGTGTGTGTGTGTGTGTGTGTGTGTGTGTGTGTGTGTGTGTGTGTGTGTGTGTGTGTGTGTGTGTGTGTGTGTGTGTGTGTGTGTGTGTGTGTTTGTGTGTGTGTTTTTGTGTGTGTGTGTGTGTATATAATATATATATTGTTTTATCTTTTAAGTTTTGATTGATGGAACTCATAAAAAACATTCTTTAAGGCTAAATGTTTTCACTTAATTTACCTTACCGAAAGTGTGAACACTATTACAAAAAGGTTCTGTGCATGTGAAGAGCAAAATTTTGTGTCTAGGTTTCCATGGCTGCAGGAAGATGTCAGGGTTCTTGTCAGAGCAACTGAGCTTGTCACGATTGCCAATTGAGATGTTCCCTGTTTGGGCATCTAAAATGCCTTAAAAGCTTTTTTTCTTTTTTCTTTTCTTTTGTTTGTTTGTCTGTGCTATCTATTCTATTCTATTCTATTCTATTCTATTCTATTCTATTCTATTTTATTCTAATCTATCTGCACCACCAATTTTAGACGCAATAAAAAAATCCATTTTTATTTTTGAATAAAGTGTTTGGTTAGACTACATTTAATTGATGCATGTAAATAGAATGTTGGACGTTAATGTGCTCTAATATGGTCTTACAAGTAAGTTTTTTTTTATTCAGATAATAACTTTTGTTCTTTGAAAGTTAAGTAGTTAGTAAAGTAAATTGTTTACATCGATGTGACATTAAAAGAGAAATCTAAAGAATCATTTAATTAAATTATTATATGCACTTTAAAAATAATATGACAAAAAGCCATCACAACAAATGCTTTTATGTTACTTCAACTTATTTTAATAAGTCAATATTTTTTAAGTTATAAAAAGTTTAACTATTTGTTTAATATGTTTAGTCAGTTTGACTGAACTAAGTTGAGATAACTAGAAATCAATTGATTCAACAACAAAAAATAAGGCAGTATGATTTTTTTTTTACTGTGTGCTAAAATAATGGCTTTGTTTTTGTAATGTTAAAAATGTATACAGTACATGTTAGAGACATTGTTGGAATCAGTACTGACCTTGACAGTGCTTCGATACAATGATTTAATTTGTTTATTTAAGTACGCCTAATGTTAATCATGATTAGACAGAGAAGGTTAAATGCTTTTAAACTGGTTCTCAGCCTGTATTGACCTTATTTTTGACCTGCATGTGGGCGCAGCCATTGAAATCTTTTTGGCTCAAGATTGGCTCGACTCTCATTGACTTCCATTGATTTTAATTGAATGTTAAAAACAGCTCATTATGCTGCTTCATGTTGCTAACTGATATATATATATATATATATATATATATATATATATATATATATATATATATATATATATATATATATATATATATATATTTTATTATTTCTTATTATGTGGATCAAGTAGTTTGACTGTTTTCCGCCGTTTATTATGCTTAGTCATTTTTTTCCATAGGCTACTGAATCGCAAGTCCTAAAGCAATCGCAAAAGAGCACACTTCCACATTGCAGAATAAGATCAATACATTTGTTTAGGGATAGCTAAAATATTATCACAGTATTTTTATTTTTTATTTTTTGCTTTTTATATCTGATCTATAAAATACACAAGCTTGTATATTCCCACTACACCTGCTAACCCACTGGCAGTCTCCACAGAGACTTTAATCCCTGCGATCACTTCCTGTTTTCTGGTAGTGTTCTCTTCCTCTTTCACATTTTTCCTCAGTAACTGATAAGCTCTTATCACAGTAGGTTTGTTTTTAAATGCACTTCAGTTAATCAGTAGGGATGTTGATAGAGTTGTTTATGTATGTGTGTGTGGTTGCTTGTAACCTTGAAACATTGATTTATTCAAGCTTTGAATATGTTTTTGCGTGATATTTTGTTTGATGTTTTAGCTAACAGCCTAATGCTGTGTTTGAATCAGATTTCAAACGTCAATTTTATGATTCAGTGTGAGACGGATTATTTTCAGTTTTCTTTAAATCTGTCACTAATCATTCTATTGAAAGATGCATATAGTTTTGAATGCTGATTTTAAAGCTTTGTAGATTGTGTACAGTGTTTGTACTTTGATCAGAGAACTCTTCTATAGCATGTGACAGACCAGCTGCTGTATTCCTTGTACACAGTACTAACCTATTGGCGTCTGCTTGTTGATTATTTCTATTATTATATTATTATTTTATGTTTTCAAGATAGCACACTTGCAGGTTTACAAAAACTTTGTATGTTTCTTCTATTTTGTTATATGGTTGACAGGGTAACATGATCAAATATTTGGGGGAAAAAAATCCACCGTTCATTGTCAGTACTGTAATGACAAATCATCACATGTATAGAGTTTTTGTGAACAAATAATTGTCCTGTTACAAAAATTGTGATCTAATCTTAAACATGATGTTAAATATCTCTGGGGAAGCTTTTCCACCTTACAAAAAAAAATAATAATAATAATAATAATAACTTGACTTCTAGTTGATCATTTGGTATCAGAAGTGGCTTATATGAAAGGCAAAGGCCTCTAGATTACACTTATGATCATGCCTTGATTTTTGATTATTTAATTTGGACAGAAAGGTCTGACTTTGCTAGGATAAAAGTCTTGTCACTTCAACAAAAATAAATATATAAAGTATAGAATATAAAGTCAGTGCAGTGGAAAAAGATTAATATTGTGCATGACTCCCATGAGTTTGGAGGACTTCATCCATACATCTCTGCAATGACTCAAAAACTTAATAAAGTCATCTGGAATGGCAAAGAAAGTGTTCCTGCAGGACTCAGAGAATTCTTCAAGATTCTTTGATTTCATTTTTAATGGCTCCTTCATCTTACCCCAGACATGCTCAATAATGTTCATATCTGGTTACTGGGCTGTCCAATCCTTAAGCACCTTGACCTTCTTTACATTCAGGCACTTTGAAGTGGAGGCTGAGGTATAAGAAGGAGCGCTCTCCTTCTGAAGAATTTGCCCTCTTCTGTGGTTTGTAATGTAATGGGCCCCACAAATGTCTTGATACCTCAGGCTCTCGATGTTGGCATCCACTCTGCAGATCTCTCGCACGCCCCATACTGAATATAACCCCAAACCATGATTTTTCCTTTACCAAACTTGACTGAGTTCTATGAGAATTTTAGGTCCATGCATGTTCCATTATTTTTTCTGCAGTATTTGTGATGATTGTGATGCAGTTCAACAGATGAGTTATCAGTAAAATCTACCTTCTGCCACTTTTCCAAACTTCCAGCTAGAAGTCAAGTTATTATTTGTTGCTCTTACAACTGGGACAGGCAGTTTGTGTGTGATCTATAAATATTTACACTCACACACTCATTGTTTTTATTTTAGTTATACTAAAAGCTGCTTTTTGTTCAGTTTCATTTGTCAGTTTTTTTTTTTTAATTTTGTTATTTTTTTGAACAAGTCTTTATTTTTCAACATATTTCTTTTCTTACAATGATCTTCTTTCTTCTCAGGGACCTGCTCTTTAACCAGATCTACCCTCGGCTGGTGGAGAACTCTGTAGCTCGGGGTGTTTTTCTGGAGAGTTTGGAGCCCTACATTCTGAGCGAGCGGATTGGCTGTCTAACTGCTCCTGTCATGAGAGACCTGCTCAGTTATTTCCAGGAGAACGGCATGATGGATAGTGTGGAAGGATGCCTAGTCCACATGGACATAACCAACTTGGACATACAACAGGTGTGATGTGCTAATGGTCTATTGCTGCAGATGTTCATTGACTGTATTTCTCCAGTCAACTTACAGTGTATTTACTTGAAAACGTAAATTTTTTGCAGGTGGTGCAGATGTGCTGGGATAACCAGCTCTATGATGCCATGATTTACGTCTTCAACAGTGGCATGAATGATTACATCAGCCCGATGGAGGTATGATGTGGTTTTGCTAAAATGCGGTTTAAAGCTAAAATGCACTCACTGCAAGACTTTGAAGACCGGAACAGATTTTTAAACACTAGATCCTAAATTTGTAAATGGTTACAAAAAATGAAATGAGCACCATAAACAGTACTTGACTATCACAAGTATCAGATTTTTAAGTCAATGAAGAGAATGAGAATTCCGCCAGATGCATGCATTACAAAAAGTGATGCAAACAAACATAAATATACAGTAGAATAGAGGAACTGGCCGGTTCAAAACTTTTTCCCTTCTATCTGACTTTTTCCAGTTTGAATCTGTAGAAAACAGAGTGACTTGGGGTGCAGCTAGAGCTGATCACATTGTTCTACTTAGAAAAACGTCTTTTGGTCAAGCTTGTTTTTCAAGCTTCATTCGATTCACATCAGTGGAATATGATACTGCAATCCGTAAGAGAATGTGTACCAAGAATGATTTTAAGAATCGGCTTCTTATTAATCAACATTATGAACACTAGGCTATTTGACATTGTTGTTGTGGTTGTTTTATGTTGGTTGAGATTTGTTTTTAGTTTGGATTTGTATTTTTATTGGTATAGTCCTTAAACATCTGGAAAAGGGACTACCAATGAAAACTAACCTTTGGGCTAATTTGGGTACATTTACATTCTTGGTGAACCTTGATTAATGTACAATGTCCCTTGTTGTGAAATAAATAAAAGCTAAAACCAAGACAAATAATTAGGAATGCTATTAAATTATTTGAGATTTATAATGTCAAAATTAGCCTACTTTATTTAAATATGTTTAATAAAAGCTTCTATGGTACACATATACAACAAAATTGCATCTTTATTTTATAATAATTAATATAATAGGCATGCAAGACAATGAAAAAAAAAACTTTCACATGAAAAGGTTAAAGACTTCAGAACTGGACAACACCCATGTGCTCAACTTATATTCTTTTTAGCATTTACTTACATTAAAAAGGCTTATTTGACTGTATTAATATAAAATGGTCCACAAAATCTTCTTTTTGACAGCGATTAGTAAATTTGATACACTATATTTGATATTTGATAAATCCAGGCACATGGAGAACAGATCACACACCATCTTCAGGAAAAAAGATATCTCTAGCAACAGATTATGTCAGTTGTGTAATTCAGCATCATTTTGCCTGCCCCAGCTTTTCTCACTACAGATAATTGAAAACAAATGGAAATCAATGGTATTTTTTATTCTACAGCCAACTTGGTTAGCTTTTATTGGGCTGTTATCAATAGAGCTTAAATACAGGACTCTCATAAAAATCTGGTGACCCTTTTGGTTGATTAAACCAGGGCTGTTCAAATTTCTGACACCGCTTTAGTCCAAAAATTGAGGGGTTGTAAGACGTTTGGAAGACCTGACATTAGGTGACTCACCCTAGTTGTTCAAAGTCATCTTTTAAATCCTGAAGCAAATCAAACAACATGGCTTGGCAATATGTTTGGACAATGTGGTCCTTTGGTTTCAACCCTACATCAAATATGGTCAAAAACAATAACTAAAAAGCTCAAATGTTTTTAGTCTGATGAGTGAGAACAAGTTATCTTGGCAGTTGGAAAGGCTCAGATGTACTACTTTCATTTGTGAAAACAAATCCCATTTTTTGTGCATTTGGCCAGCACATTTCTATTCTCTTTAGCTTATTTAAATATACCTTTTAATTTTAAGGGACTGTTCACCCAACAATGAAATTCTCCTCACCATTTACCCACACTCAGTTCTCTGGTTAAAATCTTTACAAATGTATTTTTTTCTGTTGAAGACCAAACAATCTGAAGCATCCTGAAGAATGCTGGAAAGCATCACTCATTGACTTTCTTAGTAGGAATAGAAATACTGGCGAAAAGAATAATAGTGAATTGTCCCTTTAAGCATGTTATAGAACATCACATTACTACAGAATGTAGCAACCTTTGTTTTTTCTCATTCACACTCTTGTGGTATGATTGGCACAATAAGCAGAAAACATTAAACTGAACCTGTTACAGCTTCAGGGACACCTCAAGGGTGCATGTGCTCTTTTTTTGATGCACTTTTGCCCATGTTTTAGTGTGCGTTTCTCACCATTAAGCTAGAAGAGAAGATGAAAGCCTTGTAGTCAGAGGAATCTTCTGAACCCCAGATGAAAGGCGGCATAGAAAGAGGATTCATTTGTTTCGTGGCCAGAATGTCACACACTGACCAAACACAACACACTCTGCTCTAGTGCTAGATTACATGACCGTGTCTTGCAGATGCTGCTGGGAGTGTGGATGTAAAAAAGACTGCAGTGTTGTATACATCTTAGGCCTGGGCATCAAATGACAAACTCTCTTAGCAAACTGTATATTTCTATCTAAAATATTATTGTCTTAAGCTAATGTCAATGTAAAACTGTTTCCCAATTTGTGGGACCATTTTTAGGACACAAAACAGTAATTTTCTTTTTAAATTAAAGTGATTTGGCTTGCTTATACTGGGTCGCTTTTAGCAAATTTAATGAAAATGTGTTTTGTTTTTCTTTGTCCTGCTTTTCCAGAAACTCTTTCAGGCGATTGGTCCTCCTCTGCAGGAAGGAAAGCCTCTCACAGGTAGATCAGAGAAATGAAATACTCTTTCAAATCTGAAAACAACACAGCCCACGTAAATCCTAACACCTGCTAAACTATAACAAGATGTTTCTGTTTTTGATGGCTTGAGCTAACCTAGAAAATGCCCCCGTTTTGTACTGTGATGTTAATAAAAGGAGGTTTGGTGGCACTTCAAAATAAGTTCAATAGACTGCTTTTATTTTGTATCAAAAAGCGACTAACAAACAAGATCCTAACCTTGAAGAAATGTTTTGAGAAATCATGATATAGACCATTTTAATGTGGTCATGTAATTGGCCCATGAACATTTCCTGCTTAGGAAATAGACAATTTAATCATAACTTAATGTTAAACCAGCTATCATAATATTATTAATCAATAATTTATCAAATATTTATCAAAACTCTTTTTGGATTCTTGGAAGCTCTAGAAATTAAAAATGTAAAACATGAATAATGTCAGGATCATTGTTTCTCTTTACATCCATCAAATAACAATATAATAACAACGATGATGATATCAATATTTATAGTGATACTGATATAGAAATATTTGCAAATTGTGCCGCTGCACATTTGACTCACTGTTTAAAATAGCATTTTATTTATTCAAAGTACAGTTGTGTTTTTTTTTTTTTTTCTTTGTCTCCAAACCTGCAGCTCTAGTTTCGTTATTTTAATGTATGCTATTCATGCAAACTATTATAATATCTGCAGTAGAAAATCTTGGCTTCTCTATCGCCATCTGTGGTTGAGAAGCAAAATCATCACTAGAGTAGTTATTTGCGTAGTTTCATTTCACACTGTTCTTCTGCATCAGTGAACTTGATGTGAGGATTTTCTATGGTTGCCATTAATCATTTTGGGATCCATGTGTCTGTCATGTTGTCAAATATAATTTGACCTATTAAATATTATTTTGCTTTTGTTATTTTTGATGTTTTAGCAGATACTTTGCTGTTTTAATAATTTTGAACCATATAAATTAACCATATAAATTTTTTTTTTTTTGCTTTTTCAGTGCATAATTTAGCTTAATGCAAAGCCTATGCTACTAAAATGATCACTGTTATTATTATTATTTTTGCATCTTTTATTGACATTTTTGTTTTGATAATAATAATAATAATAATAATAATAATAATAATAATAATAATAATTACTTAAGTTTTTATAGCATTTTTCTGGACACTTAAAGAACTTTACACATTTTTGGGTGAATCTCCTCATCCACCACCAGTGTGCAGCAGCCACCTGGATGAAGTGAAGGCAGCCATATTGTGCCAGGCCGCACACTAGGCTTAGGCTGTAATACCGTATTATGGTATACCGCGGGATCTAAAAATAGCAACGGTGTCAGTTTTAATACTGTTGTACCATCATAAAAAAGAATGCACTTAAATATGAGAGTATTAAATATTAAATATTATTTATTTATTGCTTACAAATGCATGTCTGATTGTCATAATGGGACAGTGTGGAGCAGAGAGAGGCAAGGTAAGATGGCAATTCGCGCACCAAGTGACCTGTGTGTGTGCAGTGGTGCTGTCTCTCTCTCTCTCTCTCTCCCTCTCCATCTCCATCTGTGTGTGTGTGTGTGTGTGTGTGTGTGTGTGTGTGTGTGTGTGTGTGTGTGTGTGTGTGTGTGTGTGTGTGTGAACGAGAGAGAGCGCCCCGCGCAGATCTCTAGTATAAACAAGACAAACAGGTAACCTTAAAGGTTGCATATACAGTATTCAGTTTCTGAATGATTCGGGCACAAGCCAACAGTTTGGTGACGCTGTCTGTACCTTACGTCATCATTTTTTTTTATGCACAGTAATACCGGATACCGGATACCGGCGTAAAATAGGAAGGAGGTTTGACGTTATCAAAATTTGGACACACGGACTAGAGCTTAGATCAGGGCCAAAAAATGAAACCCGACATTACCTGAGCCCGTGTACCTTGTGTCAGAGCTCGACCCGGTCCGACACATTAATTGTAATTATGAACCCAATTTAAACCTGACTATTTTTTAATGCATAGTCCGTTATAACAAACGTTCCCAACTACAATTCTGAGATGTTGGAACTACATAAATAAGTTGGAAGTCCTCGTTTTTATGCCTTTTTTACACCACATGCGTGAGCAGCATGTTTTTTTTTACATCCATGGTAGCAAATAAATATTAGAGCTTTCATACCAAAAACAGAAGCAGTGTGTCAGTGCAGAGCGTGAGCATAGCTGAAGCAGCTGTGCGGCACTCATTGGGTCTTTTTTGCAGGTGATCACACTCAGTTAAAGTGACAGTGATAATGACCCAAACATTGAATGACAGTAAAAATTTGCGATTTTACTAAATAGATGCATTTATGCGATTCACTGATTTTTATGCATTGTTTCAGCTCTACATACACAATGCACATGTGCTGCTTCACCTCTGCTTGTGCATGCAATGTGTGGCAGAGGAGGAGACACTTTTGCAGGAGCTAGAGCGTTGCTTTGGGTTGCTCCTTTGTTTTTTAATACCACACTCTCGTGTTTGTTCGTTTCTAAAAAAATAAACTTCAATAATCATGCATATGTTGTTTTAATCAGCTCAAGAAGTTTGTTATTTCAAATATAGACATGCGGCGGGCACAAGTGAGAAATTAGACTTTAGATGGTTTAGACAACATTGTAAACAACTACGGGGGATAGGGTAGGTCTGCTCTTATTATTGGTTTTGTGGCTGTTCATCAAGACGTCGACAAGGTTTGGTAAAGCTCGGGTTGAACATGGCTTGTTATTATATATACATATTATTACAGTGAAATGTCTCTGCTGTGTTTTTAAAAATAGCGGTTTCTTTGTTTTCATTCTCCTGGCTTGTTCCACAAGTAACTGACGTATCTCTTTAAATCAATAACGTTCAGCTGCGCATCTTGCTCTGCCTTTTGTTACGCATTTGTGTGCATAAAAAGTGGTATGGTACAGTTTGCTTTTAGGTACTTTTTGACAGTGGAATCAGCCATAAAAGCGTACTGTACCGTACCATACCGTATGGTACCAGGGGCCAGAACACGGCAACCTTCCTTTCCCATGTGGTACTGATTGGGTGCAGCCCTCCTTAGCTTCAGTGGGTGACCATGTGAGATTTGCAGAGAGCTAGCTAATGGCTTTATGGTCTTACTTCTCTACGGGGTTTTAATGAACAATTTATCTATTTATTTATTGTTGTAAAGCACCTTGGGCAGCCATTCGATTGTAGTGATGTGCTATATAAATAAAGTTAATCAAAAGATTTCATTTGCACACTTACTGCACTGGAAATTCTATTTTTTTGATTTCATGTACAAAATCTGCTCACTAACACTGTTATTAGAATGATTAAAACATAACAATTAAAATTACTCTAATTTTTGACTGCTAAAGTAGCAATGTTTTATTATTTAGGAAATCTAATGCTAAACTTAAGTGCACATAATACCATTTTCCCATGTGTGTCCTATCACAGATGAGCATGTTGTAATGGGGAATAAACTGCTGGTGTACATCAGGTGAGGTTACTTTCTGCATAAATTCAGCAGTCATACGCAGTTGCATGCCGTATAACACACCTGTTCTTTCTTCTCTGCCAGCTGTTGTTTGGCAGGACGTGCCTATCCACTAGGTGACATTCCTGAAGATCTGGTCCCTCAGGTGAAAAACCAGGCAAGTAGTGTGATTACATCCAGATTGCATTAAAGAACATGCATTGTTTGGTTAGCATCTGAGGTTGCACTCGTGTTGTGTACAGCTTGACACCACAATGTCTGTTTTGTTTGTACTGAGTCTGTATGAGTCACGCCGTATTTCTCCCCGTTACACTCATAGCTCTCATAAAAGACACAAGCGTGTGTGTGTGTGTGTTTAGTATTCTCAGCAGTTTGCTCTCAGCAGGGCTTTTAAGGGGAGTTCCTTTTGTTGCCTATCCAAAGTGCTCAAGCAATTAGTTCTGGGATGGATGACCTCAGGAGAAATTTAAAAACGGATGAGGAACATGCACACATGTACACACAGCCTAAAGCTACTCTCACTTTCATGCTAACACAATGAATGCTGTCATACTTTGATGCAAACATTTGATGGGATGAGATCTAGTCAGCTTTTAAGTTTAAAAATGATAATTTTATGTGAACAAAACTGTAAATCAATAATTGCAATAAGAGATATGCTGTAATAACTATAAAACAAGTAGCAAACAAGTAAACAAAGTTAAAGTGACGTATAACCAAAAATGTGATTTAAGTATTCTGGATCAAAGATCTGAGTGATCTTAAATCTGAAGTCTATTAAGCTAGAGAAAGTAAAAGACATAGCAGCATGTGCTGAAATTTCGGCTGGGCCGAATAATGTATGTATGTATTTCAATAAAAATGATAAGCTCTGGACTTTTTTTTTACCTTATATTGATCCAAGAGTTAATAACTCAGCAGAAATGTGCAACAATGAGAATCTAAAAGTGTGTTGATATTAGAGATGTTCTGAATTTTCCGCCACAGAAAAATGATCGGTCGAAAATGTTAAGCCATTTAATGGACTCTCTAATTTTTGTTTCTTCTGTCATTTTTGGGGTACTTTTTTTAATTATGAAAGCATTAAAAAATGATATTGAAATATATATCGTTATCTTTTAATATGGCAAATATTAATCGAAGTTGCATTTTTTGCCATATCGCCCAGTTGTAGCTGAAACACAAGGGGACAAGATCTTGAGCTTCCAGAGAGGATTTTCTGAGTTATATAGGCAGAAGAACTTCTCTCTTTCTATGTCAGCAGCTGATGTTTACACTGCTCAAACAAATTCATTCATGTATCACTAAACTACATCTTACAGTATGTTTCCTTCACCTAAGTTAAGTCAAAGCGAAAGCTGGGTCTTGTCAATATTATCCATGAAGTACAATAGGTCAAGTCAGATAAATTTCAAAAGTTGTGGTTTTGACAGCCTTTAGCAAAATTAGTTTCACTTTGCAAATACCAGAACATGGTTAAAATATCATATTTAAATGCCAAACTAAAGAAAATGCAATATCGATTGCCATCCAAGTGATTTCCCCATAGTGGAAGTTTCCACGTAGCATTGGAGTTCCCCATCCTAGGGGGAGCGCTACGGTTACTAAAGTAACCCTTCGTTCCCGGAGGGGGGAACGTAAATGCTATGTACCTTCTCCACAACGACTGTCCCTCAGCTGTTGAGCGTGAAAGTCTCTTCAGCTCAAAAGCATGTCGAGCATTGTGCCTGGCGCGTCTTTATAGTTTGACTGATTGTTATTGACGCCAGCTATGCACGCCGCCAACTCATTGGCATTTCATTGGCCGGATTTTATACTCTTTCAGATGATTGGTTTCTGACGAAAACCCCATAGTGGAAGTTTCCACATAGCATTTCCATTCCCCCCTTGGGGAACGAAGGGTTACTTTATTAACTGTAGCATTCTCAGTACTGGGTTGTGGCTGGAAGGGAATGCATTGTGTAAAGTAAATGCTAGATAAGTTGGCAGTTCTTTCCGCTGTGGTGACCCCTGATGAATAAAGGAATTACGCCAGAAAATGAATGAATGAAGTTATTCACCTATAGCAGTGGTTCTCAAACTTTGCCAAGTGTATCACTAGTGGTACGCGGGCATTCTTCTAGTTGTATGCGAGGAATTTGTCATATATACATGCAAAATATATATATATATAAAAATGTATCACTAATAATTTATATGAATATGATGACTATATTTATAGTAGTCCAAGCTACATTTCCAGGTTTTGATGAATAGGCTATTATATGTTACTTTACATTTAGGTCCAGGAGTTTCATTTTTTTATTTTAATTTTTTTAATTTAATTTAATTTTTTTACTTTTTAAGACAAGTAGTTTACTATTTTAATTTAACTTTTAAAAGCACATTTTAATTAAAACGTTTACATTACATTTTTTTATTGTTTTTTGTTGTTTACCTTCAAATACAGTACAGTGTTAACGTTCAAACTGTTTATAATGTTTAAAGTGGCTGACAATAATAAATATTATAAATAATAGGAATTAATCTGCCTGGTTTTTGAACTGTGCTGAGCTGTAGCTGCTTAATTGGGCCCACTACGCTACTGTATTTCAATACTCTTCATTATGGTGGTACTTGGAGAAACTATTTTTTTTCTGAGGTGGTACTTAATGAAATTAGTTTAAGAACCGCTGACCTATAGCACATGCCTTTGGACTGTGAGAAAAACCGGAGCACCCAGAGAAAACCCACGCGGACACGAAGAGAAAAATGTCAACTGTCCCAGCCAGTGCTCGAACCAGCGACTTTCTTGTTGCGAGGTCACATTACCCACTGCGCCACTGTTTATAGTGAATGTATGTAAGTTTATGTTGTGCAGTTCTGATTTATTTTTTTAGAAGGGCATAATACAAACTTTGTCAGTGAAGGCATATTAGCATGGTAAACATTCATAAATGTGATAAAAACAGAATTAAGAGATAAATAATCAGAAATAGCAGCAATTCAGAATTCTTTACTTTAATAGACTTGCAAGTTAAAGTCCAATTCTAAACGAAAAAAGCGATTTCTTCAAATTGCATGTCTATAACTCACAATTTTGACTATACAGTAACAAACAATTGCAAATTTGTGTAAACCAAAAAAACAAACAAAATCAGAATTATTAGTTTTTTTAAAGATATTTGTGACTTCATTGCTGGAAACAAATTAGATTTTTTTTACCATTTATGGTCAGGAAAGAAAAACTGCAATGTCTGTGGCCATCTTGCTCCAAAGATATATACACTAATTATTGCATACGGACCTTGAGTATGCGTCAATATTGCCACCACATTTGTACAGTGCTCCCAGGTCAAATGTCATTCAACTGCGCTAGTCAGGACTAAAGCCAATGTCAAGATGCTGGACTTTAGTGCCGTGTAAGGATGTAGTAATAAGTAAACAAAAAAAACAAAGCACAAAGGCATAACATTTCATAGGTAAGATTTAATTTTCTACGTTTTTGTATATTACTAACTTTAGTGCTTAACAAGTGTTATTGATGATAATACAGCCTCTTACTGCACTGATCATAAGGCAAATAACAGCAACTTAAACCAAATACTAAGCTTATTCTAGTTTTGTTGAATAAAATAAGCAAACAATGTGAATGAAATATGACAACAAGACGCTGCAGTGCTAGAAACTTGTGTTATTGTCGGCTAAGTAAACGAGTTGTTCATAACAGAAATTAATTCACAAACGAATCACTCCCACCATTAGAATGAGAAGTGAAAGCAGTTTAGGGGGTGTGTTTCAGGACACGGATTATATCAAATTGAACAGGGAGAGAGGATAACACATTTCCATGCACACAAACACATGCTGTTTGTTAACCATGCGTATTCAGTCACTTATCCATTGATGTAGAAAAGTGATGTAAAATTATAATTTTCATTAAAAAAAAAAGTGCATACTGACAATCGGGAAAACTCCCGATCATAGATATGTATATATGAGTCTATATCTCTGGCTCTGGATGGCCAGTCCTCCTCTGCATCATGGTCCAACATTCAGTTCAAGGGATCGCTACCCTGTACTAAAATGGGGGGTTTATTGACACATTCCTTCCAATAGACAACAATAGCGTAGGTTACATCTAATGCAAATATCTATGATATTGCCCTATATAATAAAATATGTTAGAGCTCCATAATATTGGAAAAATCAGACATTGCAATGTTTTGTTTTGCTGTAATGCATATTTCGATATGTATATAATTTTTATCAGACGATTTGAATAGGTATGTATTTTGAATCATGTATTTAATTTAGATTGACTTGTCTGATCAAATCTTTTTCTATGCAGTGCATTTGCATAATATATTTATATAAAAAATATAATATGACGAATTACAAGCAAATATAAATACAATAGAGTAAAAATATAAACTTAAATACAAAAAAATAAAACTTAAATACATAGTGCTTCCTGGTTTTCTGAGGAGTCTAACAGCATTCAAATATAGAAATTGAACAATCAATTGTAAAATAACATGGTCATCATTTAATAAATAATTTTTGTTGCAATAATATTTAAAAATATCTTTATCTTTTAATTTTTATAAAATAATCCAATCCTCCGATGTGACTATTGTGGATACATGCATTGCGATATCGATGCTCATATAATATATATTTTAGCCCTAACATATGTTTCTCAGCAGGGAGTATTAAAAAGAGAGAGAGACATTTGTGACTCTATGCATCTGATGTTGTGTTAGTTGTATCATCTTGTGATCCCTAAGGGGTCATTTTCAAAGGGACACATGTGCACAGAAAGACTTTTTCACTTTGATCTGTCAACGCAATGACACAAATTCCTATATAGTCCGCACACACACTTACACAGTGTCACATCTGCAGGTCCATATCCTCAAGCCACTCCCTCCCCTCTGCTGCGAAACACAACATTGGCATCGCAAAGATGAGCACCTCCAAATGATGTCCAATTATCTCTCTTTATGTGTGTGTGAATGGGAGATAATGGCTAATCTTTTGGTCCATGCTGCTCTCCCACAAACACACTCATACTAGCGCTGAAGTGTACCACCTGGTCACCATGGCAACTAGCCAGCCCTGTACTATACTCCGATGATAATAGCTAGAATTTTGATTTAGTTATTGTGTTGAGGGATTGGCCCAGGAGCATGTACCTGCAGAAAAATCTGAACAAATTGAATATTATAATGCTTTTTGTGCACATTAATTGAAGCCTATATGTAGAATTAAAAATATTTCAGTATTTAGTCATTCACATTGTTATATGCATTAAAAATTAGAAATGGAGTACACAGAATCTAGATTTTTAGCCCATCATGGAGTCTATTTATTTACTTGTGTAAATGTGTGTAAATTTATATTTGTTCAGTTTATAAGTTAATTTTAGAAATGTTATTGACTAATAAGAAGATGTTCATATTATTTATTTACAATACAGTTTGTAAAGTAATATTTTCTGTCTTTTAGTGGATATGTTTATATAAGTATGGATTAAGATTGATTTGCATTGTAAACATTAAATAATAGTTAAAACGCTAGTATTTTTTTATTTCATATATTAAGTTTCAGTTATGATGTTCCCAAAATAATTCCTCATACAGTAAATCTGTAGATTTTTTTTACAAAATTGTCAGCAGAAATGGCAAAAATCGTCCGCCGATTCTGTCTGGCCCTAAGCTATAACTAGGAATATGACTATCGTGTTTACACTGAGTATGTTTACATGGACACCAATAATTCAATTTTAATACTATTAAAACAATAGTCTGATTAAGAGTCTACCATGTAAACAGCAATTTTTGTTTAATCCGATTAAGGTCATAATCGTACTAAACAGAAATTGAATTAAGAAATGTGGAGTATGCAGATTTTCCTCACATTATTGAAATGCAGTACAGACATTTAATGGCATGCATAAAATGTTCCTGAATCAAATTAAAAATGAAAGACTCAAAATTACATAAAGCTCCGGAGGAAATGTGGATTGCGTGGTCACACAATGATGTTAATCGAATTATGTGCTTTAACATGTAAAACAGGATCATGAAAGGGACATTCAAAAAGCAAATCATGTAAACACCTTAATCATATTGTCTTATTTAGATTAAAGGAAATAATAAGATTACTGATGTCCAGGTAAACGCAGTCATTGTTGCTTATGCACTGTTCCTAACACTATTGCAAATGTAATACAATTTTTATCTCAAACCAGTGTTTAAGTGTTTTCCCAATGTCTTTCTATAACTGTATGTAATCGTACCGGTGGCTAATATAATAGCTAAAAAGAACTCCCAAGGGTTATACTCTAAATATAAAAAGTTTAGTGTTTTAGTGTCAGTAAAGTTTATTTTCTTTTATTTAACTAGGGCATTGTCCAAAAGTGGCAGAAATGCTTTGTAAATAAAAGAAATCTTAACATATTTGTATTCTTTAGATAATCCTGAGAATATAAAACTAAATACAAATAAAATAACGTGCATATGTAATCACAGTTACCATAAAAAATTAACAAAAAAAAAGAAACACAGAAAGCAATGCAATGGAAAATTTTTAGTTGTGAAAAGAAAAAAGTAATGTCTGCTGGAAATTTAAATACAGCATAAATTATATAAGTTGTTTAAAAACATCATCATTAACAAATAGTTGCATTCTTGCTGGGCAAAACATTTATTTATTTCTTCTCTTCTTAGTCCATTTACTAGTCAATGATCCGGATTGAACCACCACCAACGACAACAGTAGATGTTTTACGCAGCAGATGCCCTTCTAGCTGCAAATCACTGGGAAACACCCATACACTCTCATTCACACATATACACTACGGACAATTTAGCCTACCCAATTCACCTATAGCACACGTCTTTGGACTTCTGGGGAAAACTGGAGCACCTGGAGGAAACCCACGCTAACACAGGGAGAACTTGCAAACTCCACACAGAAGTGCCTACTAACCTAGCCGAGAAACCAGCGACCTTCTTGCTGTGACAGCATCAGCAACATCGCTACCATATTTAAGATACCAAATTTTAAACAGCTATAGGGTTTTTACAACACTTTAGCAACTGTGTTTACCATTTTCTTATGGGGACTGAGTATGCATAATAAAAAAAAACCCCACAAAAAACACCCAAAAACATTATTATGATACTGATGTATCAACTAGGGCGGTTCATTTCGCTGTGGCGATCACTGATTAATAAAGGGACTAAGCCAAAAAGAAAATGAATGAATTTATATCAACTGATATGAGGGTGAAATATATTGTATATTATCTAATTCTACAATTAATTTCAATTTAATTTGTTTGTCATTCCCACGTTTCCCTGTACAATGAAATCTTTACTTTGCCTTCCACAGTGAAGTTATGCACATAACATACACATCCTACACGACATACACAAATATACACAGAAGCGATGGAAGTATAATTATGAAATGTATATGCGTATATATATATATATATACATACATAACTATCTATGAATATAAATTTTATGATACTGATTGTGGAGTAATGTAAACAGATGTAAACAATGTATAGTAGTTCTTAAATTTGTGCTTATTATGCAAAAAAAGTGCCTAGTGCAATTGGTTTATGTGCAAACAACAGTATAATGGCCGGAGCAGATATAGTGCAATTGTATGCATTAAAGGGCCTCCCGTTTCAGCAGGGTTTTTTCATACCTCTATTTTGGAAAAAGTCAGGAAAGTGGGTGTGTCTAGCTCAGTTTAGGTGGGATTGTCGGGGGAAGGAAAGAGGGAAGAATTTGGATAAAAAGGGGAATTTCCATTTGAGCACGCACTGATTTTCACAGAGGCAAAACAAACACACAGATGCAGGGAAAAAAGACAGTAATAAGAGTGGAATGTTTGATACCCCACATCGTATAAAAAAAAAAATAATAAAAAAAACCCTCTGCATTTTTCCAAACTCATATGCACTCGAAAGGTCAGAAAGCTGTGTGTGTAGACTATCCTGTCACAAAATGTGGCAAAAATTCAACACGACGGTCGATAATAGTTTGATTGCGGTGTTTACATGTTTTCACTCAGAGAGCAGCATTTATAGCAGATCTTTCAATCCATAATATTGTAGTGATATAAACGTACTGCAAACTAAGTAACTTAAAAAATAATTTTGACTGAGGTCTGCCTTTAAACACTGAAAGAGTACTGCTGACGATACAAACTAACTTTGCCATCTGAATGAACAAAGAAATGGGCACTGATCGCACACACTTACCAAATCTGTAGAGACAAGACTTTTAAAACCAAGTGGAGCCGCGTGTTTTTTAAAAGGAAACCGTATTTCACAATTTCCAGATGCGAAAAATCGAAATGATGCGATATGATAAAAAAATGTTCTGTACAACGTTATCCACACGTGAGACCAGCTGCGCTCTAATAGCTGGAAAATGAGATCAAAACCTTTGTTGCAGCACATTATAAAAGCAACACTGACGACCCGTATCTCGAAAGAATTTGTTTTCTTAATCCTGTTTTGGTAACACAACGTGTCGTGTCTCTGCCATCTTAACACTGTTTCAGGTAAAATAGTCTTTGAAGCTATCATGCATATTAATGAAGTTGCACCGCATACACAATAGAGCGCTCTGATTGGTTTGAACCAAGTCTTTTCTCATGAATAAATGCAGCACACTCAGAGACGTCACGGAGAACTCCTAGGTAGAGACAGCCAGTCTACATGCTGGAATACACGCAAGTATCTAATCGGCGTGTCGCAGCTTCAAAAATGTGCTTTAAACCGGAAGAACGAATTTGTTTGAAGTAACTTAAAAACAACCTATTTTCACTTTTTTGTGTAATATATGTGTCCTAATAGTATTTTTTAGCAGCATGGGACACATATATGAGTGTCAACAGCTCAAAAAATGTGTTTGGTCTTTCATGACCATTTAATAGTGCAAACTTGGATGGAGAATATAGTGTGCTACTGAGCAAATAATGAAACTGTTTAAGTCCACTGGTTATCCGTTTAAACGTCTGATAGCTGATTGGAAAAAAGAGTTCTTGAGTCTAGCAGTACTGCTTCACACACTCCTATTACTCCACCCTTAGGTTAGGAGTGTGAATATTCTGTGTTGTGGGTGTGTGGGGTTCTGTAGTAAACATGCATGGTGTATTGAAACCAGTGTTTTATATCCCTGAATGTGTTCTAGGTGTTTGAGTTTCTCATTCGTCTGCACTCTGTGGAGGCTGCACAGGAAGAGGAAGTGTATCCCTACATCCGAACACTCCTGCACTTTGACACTCGAGAGTTCCTCAACGTTCTGGCACTGGTGTGCATAATCTAATCATGCTAACCTAATCAATAAATCACTATATATTTTGCATAATCTAATCATGCTAACCTAATCAATAAATCAATATATATGTTTTCAATACTTCAAATAATATTTTTTATTTTTTTATTTTTATATAATGTTAAGTTCTATTCAGATTATAGTTATTTTGCCAATGAATTGGATCTGAATGTTAAAATCTCTTTTCTTCACAGACATTCGAGGACTTCAAGAATGACAAACAGGCTCTGGAATATCAGCAAAGGATTGTGGACATTTTACTAAAGGTGACATATTTCTTGCTTTCTGTCTTTCACATACACACACTAACACGTTTATGTTGGTATTTGTTGTTTACGATGACTCTAAGTAGTTATAATATATTTTGTACAGTAAAAAAGCGCTTATTATATGCTTGTACCCCACCCCAACCTTTGAACCCAAGCCTCACAGGAAACCTGTGGCAAAATTTAGATGTTAAAAGACTCCATTAGGATTGAAGATTAGGCATTTTGAATTACAAGGACATTAGACATGCCTTTGTAAACCACTGTAATAGAGTACAACTAGGTAATACCCATGTCACTATACTAAAAACTTTTCTTTTAAACCCCCAAAACCAGTACACACACATTAGTATTAGCGGACAATTAATATAAACTTTAATGACAATGAACAATATACACTAGCTTATCCTTTACTGTCATCATCACTCACCATATTCTGTTTTAAGAGACAAATGTGCAACTGATAGATAGAATTGTGTACCTTTTGAAGAGGTACCTCCCCAGTGACAGCTTGTGCGCCCTTATTTCTAAGAGTGAAACATTCAGTGACAGTAACATGAAATCAGTAACATGAATTAATTTAAAAACTGAATAAATATTAATTTACACAATTAAATAAATAGACTCAATGATCTGCAGAAATAAAAATCTTTGCATGCGCAGATTCCATATGGCCCTACTTACAATATGGGTCATTTTGATACAGCATCTTACTGTGTAAGTGAGGACAAAAATACCCCTCACAAATATAGGTAACCCTTACTCATTAATCCTTACCAAACTTCACTTTGCATAAAAAGCATTTGACTCTTGAATGATGCTTCACTCTGTCGTTATATTTAAATCATGCGAATGGGATAATTTGTGGAGAACTGTTGGAGAACTGTCTCTGTCTTCTCTAACAGTTGAAGATTCCTGCAGTCCTCTTCCTCTTCATCGGCACAGCTCATTCAAGAGTCCTCAGCAACTTAAATCATCATCCCCTCTCTTCCCCATTCTCTTTTGGTCTCCTGCTCACTCTTTCCCTCCCCGTCTGATCATTAGTTCATTTATAAAACATGTAGACTGAGTCCCCATAGAATTCCACATAAAGGACCTTTCACACTAAGTGTGACACAAATCACAAACTGTGCCTTGCACTGAACACTGAAAATGATTCATTGCAAAATTCATGTCTGCACGTGAGGTGGTGGTGACCAGAACAATCCATTATTTGGCATTCTAACACTATAATATTCAGCTTGATCTTCTCTTGTATTTCTTACAAATGTGTCTTTGACATTTCTTCCATTTGGCAGTAACCTCATCCACTGAATAGTGTACTACAATAAAGTGATATAAGTAAAGTTTGGGGCTATACCAAAAACATACTGAAACTATAGCTATCATGCATAGGGTTTTATTAACATATTAAATCCCATTGACAAAACCTGATGTGAATAAATCTAATGGGATCTATTTGACTCTAAAACATCATGTGTACATTTGCTTACATTTTAAGGCATGTGTCCACCAAAGTGTTTTTGCAGAGCTGAAAACACAAGTGCTCTTCCAAAAACAAATATAAATACATATATGTTCACATTTTCATATGAAATTAAAAAAAAACTGTTGAACATTAAAGGTATTACATAACATTTTCAACTTTCTTGATCACATACAATTGTGCAGATTTTGTTGTTTGACAAATATTAAAATTTGTAATTAAAATGTTAGAAGCCCAGGGACAAATGTTAACTGCTTGTTAGGAGGGTTTTTATTGCATTAGTTAAGTGAATGTGTTTGATAGAATGTAAATAAAACTCTGCTTGTCACATCAATACAAGTACTATTGGACTATAATTCATCTAATATTTGCCAGAGTAATATGAAAAACCTTTGTAAAAAACTGTCCAGGCTCTTTGCATTATTTACTTAACAACAATCAAAATCAGTGCGTACGCAATTAACAAATTCGGTGTGTGCTTGTGTCCACTTTTCAGGTTATGGTGGACAATTCTGACTTCACCCCATCTCAGGTCGGCTGTCTTTTTACCTTCTTGGCGCGACAACTTGCCAAACCTGATAATACCCTCTTTGTTAACCGGAAGCTGTTTGACCAGGTGACTTGTATTTTTTGTCAGTTTATTTGCCAGTACTTCACCTTTTCAGTTTTCACTGTGCTCTTTTTTTATTCACTGCTATAATCGTAACTGCAAGATTGATTTCTGTGAAGGTGTTAGTTTTGGTACAGGCAATTAACAGCTTTTGTAAAAATAGCTCTCCCGCAATAGAAGCGTTATGCTTGTTTTTCTGCATGTTAAATAGTTCATGATTCTGCAGCCTGCATTGGGGCCTGTTCTAAATTAGAACTTATCAATATAAAAGCAGTTTGAAGCTTTGTTACCATCAGAGAAGCTGACAGCTGTGATTTCAGAATTATTCCACAACTTTAGCAAGAAAGTTTTTTTGTTGCTGCTTGTTGTCTTTTACAGGTCCTGGAGTTTCTATGTAGTCCAGATGATGACTCTAGGCATACTGAAAGGCAGCAGGTATGAACACAATACCAATTTTGAAACTAAAATTTTTTCAAGATTAGTTCAAATAATGATTTTTAGGTTATGATCTGCATGTGATCTGGTGATTTTGGTTGTTGTCAGGTCCTGCTGGAGCTGCTGCAGGTTGGCGGTGTGGTCCAGTTTGATGAAGGACGTCTGCTTTACCTTGCTGAGAAGGCAGAGTTGTAAGAAATCCACCACTCATTAAACACAACAGTTTTGCTTTATCCGCAGAAAAATTATACATCTAAAGTCTTTTTGATTTAACAGTCAAACAAACTTTTCAGCGTGATGAGATCATCCATATAAAATACACAAGGAACAACCTTGGATTTATATGTCATAACTAGGGCCAGACAGTATCTGCGGTCATTTTTTGCTATTTCTGCGGAGAATTTTGTAAAAAAATCTGCAGATACATCTTGAATAATTTTGGGAGTATCAGAACTAAAAACTTATTATATGAAAATAATACCTTTTTAACTTTTTATTGTAAACATATAAAAATGATATGTCTACAATGCAAATCCAATTAGATCCACTTTTTTGGTAGACAAAGCAAGTCTTTCATATAATATGTCTACTAAAAGACAGATAATATTACTTTACAAATTGTATTGTAATCAAATCTTATGAACATTTCCATATTAGTCAATAATATTACTAAAATTAATAAAAAACTGAATAAATATAAATAAACATTTACACAAGTAAATGGACTCAATGATGGGCTAAATATCTGTCGAAATGTGTGGATTTCTGCTCGCGCAGATTTTGTGTGGGCCTAGTCATAGTCATGTCTGTCTGTCTGTCTGTCTGTCTGTCTGTCTGTCTGTCTGTCTGTCTGTCCGTCCGTCCGTCCGTCTATATATATATATATATATTTTTTTTATAATAAGAAAAAAAGTTGTTTTAATGAAATCATGTTAGAATGAGTTCTGAAAGATTGTGTGAAATTAAAGGATGTGATTGTGACTACTGGCTACTGAAAATTCATCAAATAGATTTCACAGTATCACAATTTGACTACCTTTTAGGTCCCATGAATGAAGTCTTGGTAAACAAAAGATACATCTTTCATTAGTCAATATAGGTATAACATAGTAATAGGATTGTGTGTAGATAACTATGATGATAATAGATTAGTATAAAATAATATAATATAATATAATATAATATAATATAATATAATATAATATAATATAATATAATATAATATAATAAAATATAATGTATGTACTCGTGTATCTGCAAGTTATGTCGTTTATACTTTATACAATTAAATACAGAATTATTAGCCCCCCCCAATTTCTGTTTAAGGGAGAACTATTATGTTTAGAAGCACATTTTTAAACATAATAGTGTTAATAACTAATCTCTAATAACTGATTTTTTTATCTTTGCCATCAAGGCAACAAATAATATTTTACTAGATATTTTTGAAGACACTTTTATACAGCTTAAAGTGACATTTAAAGACTTAACAAGGCTAATTATATTATAGGCAAGTTAGGGTTATTAGCTAAGTTATTGTATTACGATGGTTTGTCCTGTATACTATCGAAAAAAATATATAGCTTAAAGAGGCTAATAATTTTGACCTTAAAATGTTTGACCTTAAATAAAAACTGCATTTTTCTAACCGAAATAAAACAAATAAGACTTTTTCTCCAGAAGTAAAAATATTATTAGACATACTGTGAAAATTTCCTTGCTCTTTTACACTTTTAAGAAATTTTTAAAAAAGAAAACAATCAATGGTCTTTTGATCATCTCTTCATAATTATTGTTACTTTTTTAAGGTTTTATACATAATATGTGCAAAAATTATTTGTAATTAATTCTAAGCCAGCCTAAGTTATGAAACTTGCTGCTAAATCACTAAAAAGTCTATATTATTATTATATATCTTTATATTAATGAACAGACCATTGTTATAATTGCAATTTTTTTTCTCTTTGTTCTTACTCTTTTAGTTATCAAATATGCGAGTTTATGTATGAAAAAAAGCACCTTTATGACAAAATTGTGGACTGCTACCTGAAAGACCCTTTGAGAAAGGTACAAAACGTAAATCCCTTAATTCTCTCTCTTGTTTTCCTGCCACTTCTGTTTTTCTTATACTAAATCTTCATCTTTGACTCCAGGAGGAGCTCTTCAACTACATCCATAATATCCTGTCCATGCCTGGCTACAGCGCAGAGGAGAAACATTCTGTGTGGGTCAAAGCCCTTCAGCACTTCAAGGTGAGTCAAACAAGGCTTCAAATGATTCCTCCCCTAGAGCACACTCAAGGTAGAGAGAGCTTAAGCTTCAAAAAGCTCATTTCAGACCCTAGTCTCATCAAACCCACCCCTATCTCTCTCTTTCTCTGCCTATCTCATCTTGTTCAGTCAGTGGTCTTTGTTCTGATGACTTCCTCTGATTGTTCAAATTGAGAGTAGTAAAATCAGTCGATATGTTCTTGGAACATGCCTGACAGAAAGTCTAATCAAGCTTTTGAAAAACCTTCATTTATAAATATCTGAAACATTGATTGACATCAACAGGAAAAACTTAAATTGATACTTTTATCCTTTAAAAAAACATTTGGTTTTGTTTGCGACTAACAAGTTTTGTGCATTAATAGATTACCAGAATTTGCATTTTTAAATAAGTCATTACATTTTAGCTTGGTGCCTATTTTATTTGGTGTTCAGTAGGACATTGGTATCTTGATCGGTACTGTTTATTGAAGCCATGATAGATCACATCACCCTAAACCTATTCATTTAGATAAGTAGAAATCACCACTTAGGTGTCATATTGGAGGGAAAAGGTGCTTTATGCAATAAAGCTTGAAGCCTCAGAATCGGTACTCTGTGTCAGCCAATCACCATGTCAAATAAATTGGTACTCTGTTTTGACTGCAAAAATCCTGATCAGAGCATACGTAGTATTCAGATAACTAATGCACAGAACAATTATACTGTATTATATAAAGCATGAATACATGCGTGAGGGTTTTTGTTATTCTTTTTTTTTTAAGTACCAAATCCAACTATCAATGACTGGCTTATTACCTGCCTATTATTAAGATATTGGCTGTTTATTTGTGCTTAACCCTTGTGCAGTGTTCAAATTGAAAACCCTTTAGTTATATTAGGGATGAAAAGATCCATTGAAGTACTGTTTTTTCCAACTGCTTACACACAAACTCTTTTGGTCACACAATTTCTTAAACCTTTTCACTACACCTAAAATCTCGAAAACCAGAAGCTATTTGTCAGCCTTGAACTTTTTCAACTGAATAAAAGACTTTTTTCAAAGCACTACACACAGTTCTCTACCTAAAATACAATACTCTTAAAAGAAAGCCACTTGCTTTCTTTCTCCAAACACAACCAATCAAAATGGTACACTTAATGACAAGGTTCCCCACACACGCCCTTTAAATGTGGAAACACAAATTTCTTAACTGATCACTAACTAATCACTGCTCTAGTCTAGTACAGGCCAAAGATGATGGGACACTTGGCTGTTCTGGTAAAAAAGAAAAAAAAAAGAAAAAAAAAGAAAAGAAAATTGGTTATCCACTCATCTTTAATTTGTAGTTTTGTACCTACCCAATTTTCTCCTTTTCTACATTCTAAATTCCTAAAAAAAAAAAAAAAAAAAAAGAATAGAGGAATTCTTTTGAACCTAGTGATGTAAAGGGTGTGATGGGCAACCCTATGCTTTTCCACGATATGGATGCTTTTCCCCCTCGAGAGCCCCCACACACAATTGTGTTCTTTACTGTATTCTAAAAAAAAAACTTTTTTTTTGCTTTAAAAATATATTTATTTATTTTACATTCTTACATACAGTATGTTTGTTTATAGAATACAGTTCTATTTTTGTATGCTATATGCACCAACTGATGATCAACAGTAAAACCAAAGAGGGAAAACCATCAACAATCAAAAAAGCATGATTATATGGTCATAATGAATTTTAATAGATTAATGATTATAATGGAAGTCAATGTGGCAAAAACAACCACCAACATTAAACTAGGGAGACAAAAATGAAAATAATTTCACAAAAATGCATCAAAGTCAGTGTTGTTTAACTTGTCAAAGACTTTGATTAAAGGTCAAACAAAATCCAGTCCTCAATTACTTTTATATTAAAAATATATTGTTTTCCCCTCATCAAACCATCATTTGACATCAAATCAATTAACAGTTTCTTTACAATTAACCTAAATTGCCTGTAATATTAATATATAATGAGAAATGTACTGTTAACAACAAAATCATTTGTCCAAGGCACTCGAAAAGAAAGTTACTTCCTTTTCAATTGCCTTGGACTTACAATTTTGTTGTTTATCTTGATTAATTCCTTCTCCAAAGAGAACTGACACATTAATTACCCCTAAAGCGCTTTTTGTTTGATTTTTGTTGGATTTGTAAGGATGTACTGAATTAAATAAAAAAATGTTAGCATTTTTACTAGTAGTCTTTTACCTAACTGTAAATACTACTCAAAGATGTAGAATGACTGATGTTATAATATCTAAAATGTACTGTTCCTGTCATTGTATCTGTGTTCAGGATCTGGTCCGAATCAATGCGGCTAAGACAGCAGAGCTGGTGGCGGTGCACTTCGCAGACGAGGTGCACTCTATCATCACATCTCTACAGGTATGCAACAGTGTTAACAGCCTCTATGTATTCTAGACATAAGCTTCATCGTGGTGCTTACAAACTATTTAAAACTATAAACACATCATGCACAAAATAAAAGTTTGAGTCCAGACAGTTGTTGTTATTTTTTTTACATTATTCTTACGTTCTGGTATGTAACATCAGAAAATTACTTAATGTGCTGAGAAATGCAGAGAGAATAGCATTCACTGTCTCACATACAAACATAATTCAGCTGGCAAAGCTGTTAAGAGCTTTCAAAAGGAGCCTGTCACTGTTGTAGCATGTGTTTGATTCCTATTTGGTGTGTGTGTGTGTGTGTGTGTGTGTGTGTGTGTGTGTGTGTGTGTGTGTGTGTGTGTGTGTGTGTGTTATTTTTGTGTGTGTGTGTGTGTGTGTGTGTGTGTGCGTGCGTGCGTGCGTGTGTGTGTGTGTGTGCTCTCGCGCATTGTCTCACCTCCTATTCACTCATCTTAAGATAGTGTCAGTGAATGTCTGTGAGAGGGAAGAGGCCCCCCTGAGGCTCACACGTGTGTGTGTGTGTGTGTGTGTATCAGTAAATGGATTAGGCTCTATATTCAGTGCTGTGTGTAATTGGGTTTGTGTTATCGCTCGCACACTGTCAGGAAGGTGCTAATTGAAAAGCCTGCTTGTGCAAACATATGTGCCGATCAGAAGAAGATATGAGAGAAATGAAGGAAAATAAACAAGTGTTAAGGCTTTTTTCACAGTCAAAGAATAGTGTGAGAATAACATTAATGCTGTTGTAATGATTTGTAGTTCATTAAAGTCTGGAACATTTGGTAAATTAAGAATGACAGTGACAATTATGACAAGAACTATTTTGGAAGAACCTGAGGTGATTTTGCTCACATAGGTCAGGCATTTCACATCATTCTCAAAGTTTTATCTAGAGATGACCAAACTTTAAAAAAAACAAGGGGGCCAAGCCTTGGTCAGTGCGCTGAGGTTTATCACTGATACGCCTCAGTTATCAACTTCAGTGCAGAGTCATGGACCAGAAGGATTTATTTCATTCTAATAATGATAATACATAATACTGTTTTATTTTTAAAGATTTAAGTTTAAACTGTTGGTAAAAGTCAGTAATTGTTTAGAAATTTATATATATATATATATATATATATATATATATATATATATATATATATATATATATATATATATATATATATATATATATATATATATATTAAAAAAACAATAATAAGAGAAATAAGAATTAGGGATGTTTGGCCGGAGATCGGTAATGGCCAGTGATCACATTTTATGACTCGGTTGGTACTCGCTGATCTGGCCAATCTCATAAACTGATCACAAGTTGCTGTGAGGCTTTTTGGTGCTGCAATCCTTGTGCTGCTGTCAATAGTTATAGTCTAGCAAAATATTTGAATGGCATTGCGTGCATTTAGTCCTTTTTACATATGGAACTTAAAATTCTGTGTTTTCAACAATGTTGCAAGTTCACTAAAAACTGTCTTGAAATATTAGGGAAATAAAAAACTTTTTTTTTAAACTTGAATGTTTAAGATCATAACTTTTTGTAATATACTTTCCAAGTATTTTGTAATATACTTTCCATGTGGTGTAGGTAAATGGGGTATGATAAAATTGACCGTAGTGTACGTGTGAGAATAAGTGCCTATGAATGTTTCCCAGTGATGAGTTGCAGCTGGAAGGGCATTCGCTGCATCAAACGTATGCTGGATAAGTTCTTCTTTTATTTTCAATATTTCCAAATTGCAATTGAGTCATTTTTCTTTTTCTTTTTTTTTATATATTATTCTTATCTAATATTTTCTGTAAAGCTGTATCTCCACAATAGTGGTGATAATGGTTATAAGAGACGTGTTTAAGGCATTATATGAAACATCTTAAATGTACTCTCGTAGGTATGGAGAGATCTCCTTTCTTAAAGGGAAAGTGTGCTTTATGCATTGGAAAAGTTATGTAAAGTTATATAAAGCTTATAGCAGAATCTGAACTCATCATCAGCCGATTGTCATGACAAGGAATCAGTACTGACAATCGGCTGCTCTCAAAACCATAACCTTTGCAGAAATTGAGTTTATGTGGTACAGCATTTACTATCCAAGCCAACTATGTTATCATAGGTTGTACATGCATTCTTTATTTAACAAAGCTTAAAAAATTACATAAAATGTAAAAAAAAAAAAAGATATATAACTAATAAATAAACATTCTGGTAAATTGTGTAAATACAGTAGTCAACATTTGAAGTGGATCATCACCTTTCATCAAAGTTTTCCTAGAACTATTGAAAAACATTCATTCTTGTCCTAGGACAACTTCGGAAAACATTCTTTTTTTCTCTTTTTAAAAAAGTTCAGAACAAAACAAACAAAACAACAACAATAAAAAAGAAATACAATACAAAGGTTAAAGGTCACCGAATAGAAACTTATTTGCATGCGTATTTTTAGTTGATATAGTATTATGTTGCTTAATAAAAATTTGTTACGGGTTACGTATCCAACTTCAACCGGCTCCAGATATATATAAAATAAAAGCACCACAATAAAATTAAAATAATAAAATTCTTCTCAACCATTTACCCCAATATGCAGACATTTTATAGGCTTGTTGTCTAAAGGAAAATGTCTGTTCTTCCATGTCATACAACTCTTTCACAATATCATACCATTCACCTACAGATGGAGGATCCTCCTTGTGTCATTTCTTTGTAATTGCCTTTTTGCTAGTTGTAAGTAGTGTATTAGGAAGATATGTATCATTTTTTTGGTATTTGTAAAAAGTAAATTTCCAGGTACATAGTTTAAAAATTACATTCCAGATTCAATCCCTTTATTGCATTTAACTCTTTATTTAAATCTTGCAAAAAACATTCTTGATTCAATTGATTTGAATGTTGACTACTTTACATACATAGACGTCTTGATTACATAGATTGAATTTTGGGAGAAAATTGATCATCGAAAAATGTAAAATTGATACACACACACACACGCACGCACACACACACACACACACCACATACACACCACACACACACCACACACACACACACACGCAGATTGTGTTTAGATTTATGGAAGTCATCATCTTTAAATCAGAGTCAACAATGGCCATAAGCTTAGTTTATTTAATCAAGATCTTGTGGTTGACTACTATCTGTGTGAATCAGAATCATATTTTTGATGTGGAGCTCTTTTTGTTTACAGGACAATTATTTGGTGTTCCAGTTTCTGAAGTGCCTTCTGGACCCCAGGTAATGTAATGACAGCTTGACATCTGTGATCATTTTTGCTTGTGCAATGCAGTAATGTCTCACTGTAATGATGCAGCATCCGATTTGCTTTGAAGTACAGAATCTGTACATTAGGCCTTTCAGGAAGGTGTTAACAGACATACATTGTCTATTGTCATTAATATAAATAAGATAACAACATATGCAGTCGGGTGGTGTTTAGTGTTGCCTCACAACAAGGTCGATTATACGAGTCCTGACTGAGCCAGCTGGCATTTCTGTGTGGAGTTAGCTTGTTCTATACAGTAAACAAAAAAAGTGGCCATAATGTACAAGTGCATGTGTGAATGCGAATGAAGAGCACAGCACTTCATATGCTGCATTAGTTGGTGGCTCATTCCACTGTGGCGACCCCTTTGGGACTAAGCTGAAGGAAAATGAATAAATGAACATCTGCAGTCCTTCTTTTAGCAGGAGGCAATGTCAAAAAAACACCTGTCTTTTCTAACAGTCTCTGTCTCAGATAGCGTTCCTTCATCTCTGTTCTCATATGACCTCTCCCGCATACAGATATACATTTATCTACGCACAGTATTCCTTTTCCTTGTACCCTTGTTATTGTCCGGGAGTCTGTTACGCTTGACCCCCCACATTTTAGTTAGTGTCTTTCTTCTACCGTAGCAAGAAGGAGTCAAGGATTAAGATCAGTATCTGTTGTGAGTTTTGTACGTGCTGCTATTGGCAGCCTGTTGTTAGAAAACTGATAAGAGAACAAAGTGTATTTTTTTCACAGTATGTATTTTTCTCATTCTTGAACTGACATTTACAGAGCAGACCTTATAGGTAAAGGCTAAACAAAACTGATTAAGTGGTTTTAGTTCTACAGATATTTTCCATGGCCTGTACATGAAATGCTACATGTAACAACAGGGTCTAAACTAATAAATTCAAAATAGTCTTTTTTTAAATTTTTTTTTTTATAATATTAAACAGCATCAATGTTAACAATAATATAGGTAAATTGCACACAATGCAGTTTTCATACTACTGTCTTTAATAGCATCCATTTAATAATTTATTAAAACATAAAATAAGACATTAAAATAACATTAAATAAGACATCAATGAGTTAGTTTAGTGTTAATGTGTTAATTTTTATTTTACTTGTTTCTTTTATTCTTGTTTATGTAAAGCACTTTGAATTGCCACTGTGTATAAAATGTGCTATATAAATAAACTTGCCTTGCCTTGCCTTAATGTGCCCCAAAATAAAAGATTTCTCATCATTTACTTTTGCTCAAGCGGTCCAAACCATTATGAGTTTCTTTTATCCCCTGGACATAAAATAAGCTATTTTGTAGAATGCTGGTAATTGGTAGCCATTGATTTCAACACTAGGAGGAAACAAAATATAATGGAAATTAACAGCTTCAGGTTATTGACGTCACATTACAATGACAATGGTACTTCTGTTACAGATTATGTGTTTTATCTAGTGTTAATTGTTGCTAATGTCTTAACCACACTGAAACTACTAAGCAATCATTTACCTCTGATATTAAAAATAATGTAGTTAGCAAATATAGTTTAAACATGAACATTAGAACTGGGATCTCAGGCCCTGTTTACACTAATATGTTTTCGTTTTAAAACACATAAGTTTTGCTACGGTTATGCCCTATATATATATATATATATATATATATATATATATATATATATATACTAGGGATGTAACGGTATTGTAAATACCGTCATACCGCAATATTAATTTTTTTCGATATTACCGTAGTCGCATGACTCGGTAAAACTATAGGTCTTCTGAGAAAATTTGCTTAGACGAATGAAGCGAACGGGAGGTACCGGAAACTACAATTCCCATCAGCCCAGGCGTGGCCATAATCCCTTGCGGTCTGTTGTCGCTACAGATCCAGTAATGCGGAAATGGAGTGTGCTGCTAGAAGCGGGGATGAAAAAGAGTTGGAAAACCCTAAAGCAGGTTGCACACCAGAAGCGCCGCTCGGCGGCGCGCCGCGAAGCGCCATGCATTTTAGAATTCTAAACATGGGTTTCTATCAGGATACACACACCGGCGCCGCAAGTCGGCGGCTGTCGGCGGCACCCTTCCACGGCTCAGGACGCAGTTCATTTTTCAGCCGCGCCACAAAGCGCCATCTGATTAGTTTCATGTTAAATATCATTCGAATGTGCGCGTCTGGTGTGCGATACTTTAAACTGTCATGTGCGCGCCGTGTCGCGGTGCCAAGCGGCGCTTTTGGTGTGCGACCTGCTTGAAGCGGGTGTTGTCGCCGCGCGCGTACTGAATAGCGGTGTTGTCGCGCTCGTTCTGATCAGCTGTGTTGTCGCGCTCGTTCTGATCAGCTGTGTTGTCGCGCGCGTTCTGATCAGCTGTGTTGTCGTGCGCGTACTGATCAGCTGTGTTGTCGCGCGCGTACTGTAAAGCGGGGACGGAGGGTATGTCGCGTCGCGGGGGCACTTTTGATCATTTTGGAAGGGAACTTTCTATCCAAGACTAACAAGGGCATGTGCACTGCACAGGTTGAGCCCTGTGTGTGCACGTGCCTGCAAGTTGGGGAATACGACTAATAATCAGTCATGGGGACTGCAGAAACACAGCACACTGTTCAGATTGATGCAGACATGAGATCTCTATCTCACTCATGGTTTTTCCTCTCAAGTGGGGGAAAGACAATGCACAACGTTACCCACTGCTGTCAACCTGGGCCAAGTCATATCTCTCTTGTCCCAGAAACCTCAGTCCCAAATGAGAGGGTTTTTTTCTGTTGCAGGGGACATTGTAAATACCCAGAGATACCAGCTTTTACCAGATTATATTTATATGATAATTTTCCTTTAAACCCATCTCTATCTAAGTGAGTGAGTGATTAAATGTTGAATGTGATGAGTTTTCAACACTACTAAATTGAAACTTAATTTTTTTACATGGTTTAATATTTTTTTGTTATTAAAATTAAAGTTCCTGTTTCAAAGCTTACAGATAGATGACTAATTTGTATGTCATTGACACTTTTGGCACTTTTTTGGAGTATTTTCATAAGTTTTGTTTTTTCCTGTAAATGATTCAATAAATACCGTACCGTGACATTCATACCGAGGTATTACCGTACCGTGAAATTCTGATACCGTTACATCCCTAATATATATATATATATATATATATATATATATATATATATATATCTGTATGTATGTGTGTATGTGTGTGTGTGTGTGTGTATGTGTGTTTGTGTATATATATATATATACTTTCAGGAGAGCGAAATTAAAATGTATTAGTGTAAACGTGGCTTCAGTATGAACTGGGAGGTAAGAAGTAAAAGAACGGCACGTTTAGGTGATTGTTATTCAAAAATAAGCCTGACAGGCTTATTAACCTGACACAAAGCGGAGGATAAGCCTGTGTTATTAGTTTCATTCATTCATTCATTCATTCCTTTTCTTTTTGGCTTAGTCCCTTTATTAATCCGGTGTCACCACAGCGGAATGAACCAGCAACTTATCCAGCACGTTTTTACGCAGCGGATGCCCTTCCAGCTGCAGCCCATCTCTGGGAAACATCCACACACCCACTTATTCACACCCATACACTGTGGACAATTTAGCCTACCCAATTCACCTGTACCGCATGTCTTTGGACTGTAGGGGAAACCAGAGCAGCTGGAGGAAATCCACGTGAATAGAGGGAGAACATGCAAACTCCACAAAGAAATGCCAACTGACCTATCCGAGGCCAGAACCAGCGACTTTCTTGCTGTGAGGCGACAGCATTATCTACTGCGCCACTGCGTCACCCGTTATTAGTTTCAGTTGTTGTTATATGAGATTAATACATAGCTGTCTGGAATGTACTTGATTATGATTGGTCAGTCGTGACATTTCAAGGTATGAAATTGTGCAATAACAACCACTGAAACTAATAGCACAGGCTCAACCGGATACTTTAAATGGTCTTGAATGTCAGTGAATGCTAGCACATCCATATATAAACTTGCCAATTACGCGACAATGTTTGATTCAGTCTCAAGACTGAATAATATGTAGATTAATGTATTCTCTTGTCAGTTTTTTTTGTTTGTTTGCTTGTCAGCATTACCTTTGATTGAAGAATTAAGCTATTATGCCATTATGTCTCCAAACAGTATATATTTTATTTTTTATTTTTTTTATAGCAATTAGTCATGTAATAAAAAACAGAAAATACATCCAGGTGATTATATTCAGCTTTATCCCACTTTTCACATGGCTAATTGGTATACAGAGTAAGACAATGCATGCGAAATATTGTTCTGAGCAGTAATAGTTTATTAATTCTATAATTAAAGGCAAAGCTGACAGAAACAAAAACTAGACCATACACTAACCTGCATATTATTCAGTCACAATATGGCACCAAAGTTTATATATAGATCTGAACATTTACTGATACTCAGGATGATTTGAAGCACCCAGATAAGACTGTGTTATTAGTTTCAGCTATTGTTATTAACATACCTTGAAATGTAGCAACTGATCAATTCAAGCAGCCGCTTAATAATGCATGTTAATTAGATTATAAACATGTCCATTTATTTGGGGGTGGAGTGCACATTTTTCTCTTCTGAATGGCTCAAATATTTCTGCCACATAGCATCTGGCATAGATACCCCTCTTGCTTGTCGCTGGAATCTTACTGTGTTCTGTCTGGTTAGGACATGGTTTTAGAAAGTGCCTAGCAACCACATATTGAATATACCACATATATTTTACAAATGTACCACATATATAATACCACATATCATACAAATATGTTTAATTGTATGGTCACATTCACCTTTGGCCTAGTTTGCAGTAGCTTTAGTTTTAGATACAGTCACACATCAGTGCTTGCTCATTTCCGTGGCATGGCAGACCCTCAGAGCTACATCGCTGTTTTTGCAGTAGCTGACCTGCTGTGCCCTTTAGAGGACATATGGCACCTCAGGGCAAAGCTCATCTGTGGA